GGGGGGGGGAGGTTATAGAGCATCCCAAACCTGGCACAGACGTCAGGAGAGCTAAGCTTCCATCTCGCACAGACCCCTAGGGGCCAACTGGGCCCTGGACCTTAGCACTGGCTCTCATGTGACACTGCTACTCATCTATTAAAGGGGCAGCGGGCCATGGGATATGGCTGGCAGAGTGCCAGGAATAGGACCCAGGAGTCCTGGTGCCCAGCCCCACCCTGATCCAATTATCAGCCCTCACTCCCTTCCCAGAGCCAGGGAGAGAACTGTCTCTGAGTCGTCCCCCCCCCATCATATCCAGATGTTTATCTCTGTATGCAAATAGAGTCACAGTGTGAAACAATTGGGTCTATATATATATATATATTGTCTGTTTTAATTCTCTGCCGATGGCAATAATATTTCTATGCAAAATAGTATTTTCTCCCCCCCCCCACCTCCCCCCATAGGAAAGAGACCCCATTCGGCAAACCTGAAACAGTTCTGTGCCATGGGGTGATTCCCCCCACTCCACTCCCAAACCCTTCCTGGCATGGCAGCACTGGAGGAGAGGGGGTGGCGGCTGGCTGTCCTGGGGTATTACCTGCAGACAGCGCTGCCCTCCTGGCAGGTTATGGTCATTGCAAAGGCTGAGAAAGTTCATTTTGGGGACAGAATCCAGGAGTCCTAGCTCCTGTTGCAGCCCCATCCGCTGAAACCACTAGATCCTACTTTCCTTCCTGAGCTGGGGATAGAACCCAGCAATCCTGGCTCCCAGCCCCACTTTGTTCTTCCCACGATACTCAGCTATTCTCAGTCCTTGGAGAGGCTGCATACTGGGGCATACGTTGATCTGACGGAGAAGGTGGCAGGATCAGATGGTTCTGCTCTGTGCACTAATTGTGCCTCTGAGCTGAAATATGGGGTCCCCACTGCTCACTCCCTTCCTTCTCCCCATCTCTCTCCTACTTTCTGGGGCAGGAGGGAAAATTCATCACTAGCTGAATTAGCTACTCAGGCCAGATGCAGGAGATAGGTCTTTTTCTAGCAAGGATCCCAGCAGCCTGCTTGACTTTATATACAAAAAATAAAATAAATAAATAAGCATTGTCAGCATTAAGAATATGTCCCAAAGAAAATGCCAGTAACGAGAAATGAAAGGACTTTCTGACATCTCCCTCCCCGACCCCCCCATCCCTCCCCCCAGTTTCATACAATCACGTACAGCCGCACCAAAATACTTGATATGACCCCGAAAAAAATATTCACAGAACGTCAAAAATTCCATTTGTTTCGTTCCCTCCCTAAGTCTCTTGTCCACCCACCCAGGCCCGGAAAGAAAAATATAAATTGCTGACCCAGCAAAATGCTATTTCTTTTTTTTTTTTTGTCATATTTTCCTGTTGATTTTGTTTTTAAAGCCACATCGTTCACCATGCGCCGAAAAGGAAGGAGCTTGACCATATCAAGAAATAAAGGGAATGTAAAAGAAAGGGTCCGCTCCATTTGGAAATGTCCGGGAAAAAATAATCGGCAAGACCATGTCTCTTTCTCGCTCCACAGAGCCACTGTTCCCTCCCGCATTAGTTTAAAAAGAAAGTTTCCCTTCTGCTTGGTAGAAAGATAAAGGAGGATAGTGGAGTGTTTTCTCCTGTGGCCCCAGCCAAGAAAGAAAGGAAGGAAAAAAAAAAAGAAGGCTCGAGAGGGGTTTTTTAAATCTGGTTTCCCTGCATTTTTCCTTCCACTCCGTTAAGTTTGTTTTTTCCCCATGGTGATCATCAAAATAATGCAACAGATCTGGTATGGATTTCACCTGTTTTGGTCTAAAAATAAACAGGGTCTAATTTGATCTCTGTCTGAAACAGCAGGTGGAATATTTTAGACCAATAAATCCTCCGGTTCCCTTCATTTTCCTGCCTCTGGAGAGGAATTTTTGTCCACCCCTCTCTTTGCTTCACGTATTTCAGTCCTTTAATTTCCCCTGCTCTCCCCCCAAATTCCCCGCTTTTCATTCTTTGCGCATCTCCTTGATTGGATCCCAGGTCCGGATCCCAGGGGTGGGAGGGGGAAGCAAATTGCCAGAAGAAGCGCAGACGTCACAAGCCAACATCTCCTGAAAAAATACAAGCATGCAGAGAGCGCTTTCCTCAAAGCGGATGGGCTGGTTGCAAAGAGATGGGAGCAGATCTTGGCTCGGAGCAGAGTTGGGGTGGGTGGGGAGCCAGGCGAGAGAAAACAAGAACGGAGAAGAAAGAAATAGACCAGATCCCATTCCCACCCCGAAACCTCCTCCCCAAAAAGCAACCACACGGCTCAATTCCGTTGTTTTGTTCTCCTGGGTCAGGCCACTGGGCGGCAGGTCCCGGTGCTCTGGAGTCCCCACAAGCTGGTTTCCTAAAGTCTCTCGCGGGCCGGTATCCATATGTATGGCCCGGAGAGCTCTTCAATAATCCGTTTGATTTTGTGGTAGATCTCCTCGAAGCTATCGCCTTCGACGATGGCTGGGGAAGGATGGCACAGGGTCACAGGCAAGAAGGGGAAACTCTGGGCAGATATTTTGGGAGACCCAGCTGGTGATGGAGAAGCCACCGAGGCTGGAAAAGCCCCCAAAGGCAAAATCCCTTCCCAGCCCCAGATCTGGGGACACCCAGGGTGACGCAGGAGTGAGACGTGCCAGCCAAGTGACTGGCAGGAAATATTTTCCCAGGACATGCCAGCTGCGGCTCCTGGCATCAGAACTAAGGTTCTGGTGAGCACCATTGGAGCTGGCTGCCTGGTCCCAGGAGCAATGGCAACTGGTGACAGAAGAAGAAGGAGGGCACCGCCTCTGGCTCTCCCTGCCCCCTTGCTCTGCCTCCACTTCCCCACAATGCCTCTTTGGCACCGCTGGGGAGTGGTGCCGTGCTAGCTGCCTGGTTAGCACCTTCGCCACTGCCAGTGAGTGGAGGGAAAGGCGGGACTGCACCGGGCCCCAAGGCCCTCCCACCTTGGGGGGGTACACAGCATTGCCTGTGTTCAGTGGCCCCAGGACGGACTGGTGGGGAAACCTACCGGAGAAACACTCTGTGAATTCTTGCTCCAGCTTGACAGCTCGATCGAAGGCTTTCCGCGCCTGCTCCTCCGTTATCCGCTTGCTGATTTCTCTGCAGGGGAGGAGATGGAGACACGCTCAGAGCCTGGTCAGATTTGCTCCCGCCTGCCCCGCGAAGAGCAATTAAAGCCCTTAGGAAGCTCAGTTCCACCTGATGGCTACATGCCACCAATACACAGACTGCGGGATGCGTGTGGGCACCTGCCTGGGATGCATCCACTTGCCGCAGTGGCTGGGCCTGACCCCTAGAGGGAAGGTGCATGCTCAACCCACCTAGACTCTGCCCCCAACCAGCTCAGTCCTTACCCCCTTATCTCACCTAGACCCCACCCCCTCATGCCACACAGACCCCCTGACCATCTCAGATCCTGTCCTCTTGTCCCACATAGACCCGCCCGATCATCTCAGACCTCCCACAGCCCACCTAGACCACACCTCTGTGCCCATGGTGGAGGTGGGGGTTGTACTCACAGGATGTTCTCCAGCGACCGGGGCCGGATGAAGATGGCGATAGGGTGGAGCTGGGCAGCCTGGAGCCGCCGCACGGCATTGGCCGACACGTCCAGGATGCAGTGTTTGCCCTGGGCAGTGGGAGAGAAGTTCAGAAACCAGACATGGATGCCTCCCCTCATTGTTCCCTCGCTTCCTCCCCTCTGCTGTCATCCACCACTCAGGTCTAGAAGCCATCCCCCAGTGATGACCTGGATACTTCCCTCCCAGTCCAGTACCTGCTCGGCCACCTCACGGACGGACTGGACGCTGGTTCCATAGAGGTGGCTATTGTACTGCCCGGCCTCGATGAACTTGTGGCTCTGGATGTCCTTCTCCATCTTCTCCCGCGAGGCCACGAAGTGGTAGTCCCGCCCGTCCACCTCATACTCCCGCTTTGGCCGCGTGGTGTCTGGGGGGCAGGGAGAGGGGGCAGGGTCATAGCTTGGCCTGGCAGCATGGTGCCCCCTGCACTGCCCCTTACCATGCCCCCTGCAGCACCCCCTACCGCATAGTGCCCCTGCCCCTCCCCCACAGCACAGTACCCCTTGGGAGGACTCACGTGGGACGCAGGATCCAAATTTGTCGGGGAATTCAGAGAGCAAGTCGTCATTGGCTCGGTCCTTGGTAGGCCCCAGAATAATGATGGGGCGAGCGTAGTGCACTGGAGGAAGATAGAGCGGAGAAAGTGATTCTCTGTCCCCCTACAATGCTCCCTATGGGAACTCCCCCAAATCCCCCTGCTAGGAATTCCCCCTATACACAGACAATGCTTCCTGCTGGGAACGCCCCCCAGCACCCCGTGCTGGCAGCCAGCCATATTCTCACCTTCCATTTGCATGACAGTCTCGTAGCTCAGGACTGAGTCCTCACGACCTGCAGGGTGAGAATCCCAAAGAGTCATCGAGTAGGGGCTGTGGGTTGGGAGTGAGGGGCACTGGCGGGGTTGGGGGAGCCCAGGGCTGGGCTGGCAGGGGCTGCAGGCACTGGCAGGGCTGGAGGGAGCCCAGGGCGGGGCTGGCGGGGGCTGTGGGTCGGGAATGAGGGGCACTGGCAGGGCTGGAGGGAGCCCAGGGCGGGGCTGGCGGGGGCTGTGGGTCGGGAGTGAGGGGCACCAGCAGGGCTGGAGGAAGCCCAGGGCTGGGCTGCCGGGGGCTGTGGGTCGGGAGTGAGGGGCACTGGCAGGGTTGGGGGAGCCCAGGGCTGGGGGAGCCCAGGGCTGGGCTGGCAGGGGCTGCAGGCACTGGCAGGGCTGGGGTGAGGGATTTCCACAGACAGGACACTTTTATCCTACAGGAAGGAGAGGTAGGAAATAAAGGGACAGCTGGAAACAGAAGGAAGAGGTGACAGCAGGAGAGGAACCCACCTTGAGAGCCCGATCCTGGAACCCGATCCTGGAGTGGGGGGCAGAGAAAAAGAGCGAGAGAGAGAAAGAAAACCAGAGTGAGACAGACAAGGAGAGACAGAGAGAGAAAGGGTGTGTGGAGGGCTAGATAGAGGAGGGGGGATAGACAGACAATCAGAGAGAGAAAGGGTGTGTGGGGGGATAGATAGATAAATAGAGGGGGTGGGTGGGGATGGATGAAGAGAAAGAGAGGATGGGTGGGCAGAGATGGATGGATTGATAGATAATCAATTGCCCATGTCACCTTCCCTCTCTCTATCCACAAGGAGATCCAATCCAGCCTGTTTCTCATCCCTCCCATTCCATTCCCCCCCCAATATCCCAAAGCCCCTCCCTCAGAATAACCCCTCTCCCCAAAGATTCCCTCCATCCCTGGCATCAGTCCCAGCTCCAGTGCCTGCTGTGGAAGCTGTTTCCCATAGCACCCCTGGGGGTCTGGTGGAAGCAGCCCTGCCTCCTTGTGGGTTGCTACTCCATGGTTGTGCGAAGGGAGGGGCATGCACAATACACACGTGTACAAGTATGTGAGGAATGAGGGGGAAGTGGCCACAGGAGACCTGTGGGAGTGGCAATGCAATCAGAGGTGCTAGTATGCAGACATGGAAAGGGTTGTGCAAGACGAGTGTGCGAGCACTTGTTCTCCAGCCTAAGCCGGTTTAAGCAGGCGACACGCAATTGCACTCCCAGGGATAGTGCACACGCAGGCCATTTGGGAATGCAAAGGTGCATTCTAGGCAAGTGTGCATGTGCACACACCAGAGCTCTGTCCCAAGCCAGCTGAGGAAAGCAGGCAGGGTTGTACATGCAGTCACGTGCACTGACCGAGCCGTGGAGGTGCCCAGGAGGGGGGGGGGTGTGTGGAGGCGGGGGCGGG